CAGTTTTCGTGTGAACTGTTTGTGTACTCTTTCAAATTTTGAACGGCTATATTCATTCATCAGACCAAAGAATGGGAGAGAGTATTCTAAGATGATATGTACCTGCACGATATCTAAGCATACACACGGGTATGCGGAAAAAGAGCAAAGATAAAAATAACAGTCGGCGTCACTTTGAAATCAAACCGAACGGCTAAATCACGAGCGGGACAGGAATTTAATTGTCAAGTTGTTTGCGGTCGCTGATGCCACATCGAGTAATGAAACAAAGGTATGCAAAGCAGTGTAATTTTATTACAAAATCGAAAAAAAAGACGTAAAAGAAGGATAAAAGGTAGACTAAAAGCAAAAAGATGATTGTGAACAACGCTGACAGATATATACCTTAGGATTAATCTCCAATAGATATCCTGACAAACACCTACTGTTTCTCTTTGCATACGGTAAAATTCCAGTAATTTATGTAGACAATAGGGAAAGTGATACTTTATTTTAGAAACCACGGCGAGCACTAGCATTTAAAAATGCATTTTTCATGGGCAGAATCTGTCAAGCTTACACGTGTTTTAAAGGGTGGTAAAAAAGTGTACCTTATCTTTTGTGTCTACCGTATGTTATCTGAATTTTTTTATTTGGTTGCATGTATTCTCTCCTGAACTGTTCACAATATAAAAAAATATAAATTGACACTCACAATCAGCAAGGCAGATAGGACAACAGGCCCGTGATAGCTATTTTTATGACAGCCCTCACCTCAAGCATTTTCCTCCTGTGTATTTGTATATGACAGTCTCGCCGTCCAACACAATTCGAAACAACCGCTACAATACTTTGAATCGCCAGAGACGAGTTTTAAGGTCACTGCCGATACTATCATAGTTACCGCTTTCCGTCGGCCATTTTGGCGTACGTGACCTCTTCGCTCATCGGTTGCTGTTTTGTCAATTCTTTACAACAATGAGTCTGAACAAATTGAGCGTTTCAGAGGTCTCTTTTTGTTGCAAGCGGGTGCTAATCAGGTTTGTTAATGGTAATTTGTTTGATTTTGTTTCGTTATAGGGTTGATTTCAATGTTCCTATGAAGGACGGAAAATGCACGAATAATCAGAGGTATAACACTTGCGTCTGACCGTTATTTTTATATCAGAATTGTTGCGGCTATGCCGACAGTAAAGTACTGCCTAGATCAAGGTGCTAAAAGCGTCGTTTTGATGTCTCACATGGGTCGGCCTGATGGGCAGCCAAATGAGAAATATTCTCTAAAACACATAGTCGACGAGGTTTCAAAACAGCTTGGCAGACCCGTTAAATTCTTGCCCGACTGTGTGGGGGAAGAGGTCTCAAACGCCTGCAGAGATCCCGAGCCCGGGTCCGTCTTTCTTCTGGAGAATTTGCGGTACCACGTGGAGGAGGAGGGCAAAGGTCTGGGACCGAATGGCGAGAAGGTAAATGTTGCTTTATGCTGTTTGTCCACTCAACAAGAGTTTTTTACATATTCATTTAGTTGTCTCTGCGCGTGTCATAAACTTAATAACAAAGTTAGTTAAACATGAATCTTGAATGTCCCTGCTAGATTTTCCCAACTCCTGCAATTTCCCCCG